TGGTGAACAAATGGATCTGCTAGGGTCATCAGTCTGGCATGCAATTCCACACATCCTTCTTTCCTAAGGGAAAAAGCACTCCTGATGTTTTCCTCTCTCAGGTAGCGGTAACTTACTGGAAGGACACGAACTGTGTGTGTGTGGCTGTTTCAGAGATCTGTGCTTCATGTAATGTTTAGCATTTTAAACTCAAATTAACTACTTAATAAAAATTGAGAGAAGCATAAAAACAAGAACGATAATGGTCTTGGTTGGACCACATAAACCCTCTACTTATCCCCACACATCTATCAGTGGCTTCCAAATAGCTCCCTACGGAGAACTATCAACTAGAGGAGTCCTTTTCCTTTAGGTGCTGACCTGCAGAACACTCCTCTGGAAGACTTCCCCTGGCTTCTCCTCTACATTGTCAGATGGAGACATGCCATGATGAGTTCCCATCTCACACGATTACAGCCATCATTGTACTTTATTATCAACATGCTTCATCAGTTGCTTCCCCACTGGACTAGACGGTCTTTGAGGACCAGCACCACATTAGTTTTGCTCATCACTGTATTCTCAGAAGTCTGGAAAATACTACAAATAGCACAAATAGTTGATAAATGAATGGAGGATAGAAAGGAAGGAGGAAGAAATTAAGTTTTCAAATATTGAGGAACCCCACTGTAGTTTATTTGATAATCAGACTACAGTCAGATGGACAGTACTGGTGGAAATACTTTCCTCCTGACTGGGATTTCACCAACTCCTTCCTGTGCTTATTGAATTGCTGAAAATAATATAAAAAGTGCTATTTCCTCCTCTGATTCCTCCAGGAGATGAAGACACAAATCACAGAGTCCAAATGAGTTAAGCCAAAGTGGTTCTTCTTGGTTCTTACGTCATTGTTTTGGAGCTAGCCCAGTTTTCCGCACAATACCATCTGCATTGTGTCCTAAAAGTCTCTCACTTTTCCCATTTGACCTGTCTCTGCATTGTGAGTCTCGATCTTTCCTTTGACTCACCTCCCAATACAGATGATTATTCTTGTTCTAATGGAAAGGAACATGTGCTCATCCAAAGGTGTGGGTTGTCCAGACATTTCACTGGTTTCCAAACGTATCATATAGATTTTCTTCTAACCTGATAATTCACTAAGTGCTGAGAAAACAGAATTCTTGCCTAAATGGCAGTCCAAATTTGGAAACCACAGCTGCTTTTAGCAATTGAGTCATTGCCTTTCAGGTGCCAAAAATATCACCTATTAAATTCTCCAGGGTTCAAAGACAGAGGAAATAGAAAAAAGTCAAAGAACAAATGGAGAACAAAGAGTGTATGGAATATTTCTAGTCAGAAAAATTATTAAAATAAATGCAATAATTAACAAAATAACAGCAATAGCAACTAGTGTTCAATATGAATTAACAGACCAGCTGTGTGTGACCTTCCTAACTTCCTTAAAAAGGAGGGAACGTAAATTCTTAGCATCTTCACTTTCTAGGTAAAGAAATAAAGCCAAGATATTCTAGCTTTCAGTCCCAACTAAGGTGACAGCTGCCACCAGCTGAGTAAAAACGATTTCTGATTAATATTATGCGACAATCTTTTTGCACCTCATCCATCAAATCTTCCAGCTAAAAGTTTCAGCTACCATGGAGGCAGAGAAACATTGCTATGCTCTGTGCAAATCCCAGCTTCTCTGTTCCATCACATAATAAATGCTGTTCTTGCCATTGTTTTGAAGTGATTGCTTACACAGCCATAGAATACCAGAATAGGGGCTGTGATTTGAACGGATCTCTCTGTTCTGGGTATGTTATGTTCCTAATGGCCAAAAGGTGATGCCTGATCCTGCTGGTAAGGCTAGCCCTTACTTCCAGGAGTCTTCTGCTTATAGGTCCTTTCTCCTAAGGGGATCCACTATTCTTTCCTGAAGTAGGTCACTTCAAGGGCATCAGGCACATTTTAAAAAGTTTGAATCTCAATTTTCCATAGGGTTTTTGTTCTTTAGCTAAAATTCGTGGGGCCCTATATGAACCAGGAAGTGAGCTTTGCTCTTTTGCTCTTTTGCTCCTTTAGTTCTGTGATGGTTAAGGGCTATGGAGTGGTAAAGTGTGAAGTGGAGATAGAATCACTTCATCTCTGACTTAACTTACACTCACCTGCTACCCTTAAAATCATGAATACAGTTAGAACCGTCTCTCTTGGCACAATATTATTAGTAACAACAATCTTTTAATTAGGTTCAAAGCTAGAAGAATCCAAAATAAAGAGACTTGACTATCTTGCACATTGTTGTAATACAAACACTTAGAAGGCTGTCTGAAGCATATTGCAGGAGAATTAACTTACAAGTAAAGGAATAAAAGAAAATTCCTTCCAGAGAGCAACACTTAAATTAGCACAGTGTGTCTAAAAAATTGTAACATTCTGTAGGTTAATTTTTGTTTGCTTTTGAGGCTGGGTCTCATTAGCCAAGGCTGGCTTCCAACTCATGGTCCTCTTGCCTCAGCCTCCCAGGGCCTCGGTTATAGGCATGCATCACCATGATCAATAATAGTTGATATTCTGTAGCACCAGGCAACATGTTTCAACGTAGTCAAATATTAAAACTTAAAACTGAATTCCTTGAGGCCACATCTTATTCTATTTTGTATCTCTAGTATCTGGCACTTTGCCTGGTGCTAGCAATACTTTCCACTAACTGTTGTCAAACAGACTGGCAGAAATATTTCAGATCATTTAGTTCTTCTTGCCTAATAGAAGACAGTTATAGAAAAAGGTTCTGGCCAATGTCCCTGGTCCCATGGTGATTACATTGGGATACAGAAACTCAGAAGTCTTGAGAGTTCTCTTGTTCTAACACTCCCCAAGAACAAGTGAAAATGGAGGTTGTATGTTATTTGAGTATGACATTAGTATGAGAATATAAAAAAAGGTTCAGATTTCCACTTTAGTTCTCAATGGTGTTCTCTGTGACGGCTTCAAATAGAACTTTCTTTCAGAGATAGTTTTAAATATGAACCATTCATTTGTCTACTTATTCATTCACCCAGCATTTACAGAGGAACTACTTGTTGAGAAATGTTTTATCTGTTCAAAAGAATAGCTGAGTGAAAATTTCTGGAAAGGAACTTTACTGGATGGCAGAAGACATTGTATTTTGATGAGGTCCAGTGGAAACTGTAGACATCAGATCCTCATTATTTAGAATGAATGAATCTAGTATATCTCAAAATGTAACCCTATGACATGTAATACAGAAAATCAGTAGACAGATGCCTATTCAAGGTAGACCTCTAAGATTTACGTTAGCCACACTAAACCAGAGTTTCAGGAACAAGACTCGACACATTATTATGAGCAGCGTTAGTTATCTTGATTAGCTCACTAACTAAAGGGGTCTGGCTGGAAAGGACTACATGCAATTGCTTAATATGATTTAGTTTCCTCTTCCTTTTTACAAAAGTCAACTCCTACAAAGCTGATTCTAGGATACTAAGAATGATGTAAATATGGATCGGAATCATTAGCTGTCAAAACCAAGACTTCAATGAGCATGAGCAATGATTATCTCCTTAAACTAGCCCCAAGTGAATCCCCGGGAAAAGAAACAAGCAAACTTGCCATTGAAGAAGCCCTTTAAATAAAAATAAAGAGTTCCATTTAATTTTAAATGTATGACAAAGTTGGATGGATGAAGAAAATGTCTATATTTTTGTTGTTTGTTTTAACGAACCTTTAATATGATTCCCATGTGGCATTTGTATTCTTTGAATTTTACTTTTTGTTTTAATTAATTTATAACAACTGCACATATTCATAGGATACTGTGCACTATTTCAGTTTTTATAATGAGGATCTTCACCTCTTCGTTATTTCTTTACATTCAGAGCCTCTGAGCTTCCTTTCAGGCATTGATAAGCTATGTCACCGTGACTAGGTACCTTGCTGTGCTGGAGATATTGTAACATGATCGGGGCCTGCTTGTTGGGGTTTTGTGTCCTGCCCGGTACCCCACAGCTGGCAAACCCCAAAGAAAAATCACACAGAGATCTCTATAAGTTATAAAGCTGATTGGCCCATTAGGTCAAGCTACTTATTAGCTCTTGTAGCTATATTAACCCATTATTCTGATCTATATTAGCCATGTGGCTCAGTACCTTTTTTAGTGAAGCAGATCATATCCTGCTGCTTCGGTGATCTGGGCAGGAGTGGGAGGAATCAACTTTCTCCTTCCCTGAATTCTCCTGTTTTCATTGTATTATTTTTACTTTCTGTCTGGTTTTTCTGCCTATACTTCCTGCCTGGTCAATCAGTGTTTATTTAAAACATGACTGACAGATTACAGACAATTTTCCCGCATCCAAGATATGAATGCATTTCCCATCACTCACTGTGTTATGATTTTATCCCACTTCTCTATTCGCTCCCCTCTCTTCTCTTCTAGCTTCTGCCATCTTCTAGTTTGAGTGAATTGTTTTACCTTTTCCACAGGGAAGGGAACATGCCGTATTTGTCTTTCTCCAGTTCCATCTACTTTGCTGGAAATGACAGAATTTCATTCTTCATTGCATAAGAAACCTTACACTATTTCTTTATCCATTTGTCCACTGACAGATACCTTGGTTGATTCTCTATCTCAGTTATTTTCAGCAGTGGCACAGGAAGTCTGGGAGTGCAAGTAGCTCTTTGATATGATGGCATGCTTTGGTTGTGTAGTTCTTTGCCTGGTTTTTGAGACATTTCTGTACTATTCTCTATGTGTGTGTACCAGATCCTTACCCATGAAATCATTCGTTAGAACAGCTCTAGATCTTGGTGTGACAAATATAAACTCTTCTAACTGAGGAAAATAATAATGACCCACAAGCATCACTGAAAAAGGGGGACGTGGTTACATCCATCTGGAATCTTTTCCTACCCTGGTTCCCACAGCACTAAATTCCAGCTGAAACCCTATGACCTTTTCCTTGTCATTCTTCCAAATACATCAGCCCACAGATAATTTTACTCACTTTCTGAATTTTCCTAATCTGGTCAGAGAGTGTGTCTAAGAGACGAGTTTTCAGGAAGTCCATCACCTTGACCACCCGGCCATCAATGTAGCAACTGGAATAAAAATAAAATAAGAGTCAGATAAAATCCTGACGTGGGGACTAGAAATAAACTTCCCTTCGCAGAAGTCTCTGACTCCTGAGGACACAGCCTAGGATTGTACCTGAGCTTTCATATCCAGATAGGTTTTGATTTGGTACTTTTCAAGCAAATAATATACTTTTAATTTTTTCTGTTTCCAATCCCATTTGCCAGTTACCATGACTTTTTTCAGCCTTGCTCAGGTAAGCACCCATTTCTTGCTCTCTGGGAATGGACAGATATTTCATAATCCAAATTGGGTAATTGGGGAAAAGTTACTTTTTCTCTTGGGAAAGGGACTTAGCCTTCAATCTCATGGCTGTCTCTATCTTTACCTTAAAGCAATAAAGGCATGGGAGAGTTTCAAAGGAACACCCAAACATTTGTTAGGTTTCTACTTTTAAATAAGAAAATAAACAACAGATCAAAATTCTGATGCAGTGCAGTAAGTCTCAATGACCTTATATGAATGAATGAGTGAGAAAATGGACAAACAAATGCTAAGAAATCCACACACCAGCCCCAAAGCTCTCCCCTGAAATAACAGGGCTGCTGCTCATTTGTTTTACTTTCAGTCTGGTTTTCATTAGGAGCTTAAGGGAATCATCACGCTGCATTGACACTGTTGTGAACATTTGACCAAACAGGCCCATCCCACCTTATGTGGGCCTCTTTTCTGAACCACTTATTCTGAAAACTAAGCAGACACGAGGTCTGGGTTATGTGACCTTCATTACCTAGAACCCTGCCTTACTACTATCTTGGTAAAACTTGGACTAAATGAAAATTTAAGCGCTTATGATTCCCATTTGCCTAGCTAATCCACTAAAGTCTCATTGGTTGATAACTAAATATGATAGATTTTCTTTCATTTGAAATAAAATATCTACCCACAAGTGCACACAGACCTCCATGAAAGCCCTTCTTAATGTGAATCCCCATTACAGCACATGATTCATGGGATGAGCAGGCTTAAAAACCTGATACTGTAAACAGGAGCTCTGGCTGAGGGAAGGGAAGGAGACAGGTCTTACTCAGTCTCCTGTTGACCCCTCTCACCACTGTAAGATATTCCAAAGAACCCGATGTTTAAATGACATGTTAAAAACAAACAAACAAACAAACAAAAACCCCAGAGACATTTGAGTTCAGATCCCTTATTTCTACAGACCTCAGTTTTAGCATATTTAAACTAAAATTTTTATCTAGCTGTCTATCTATCTATCTATCTATCTATCTATCTATCTATCTTCCTATCTGTCTGCCTATTTATTATCTATCTATCTATCTATCTATCTATCTACCTACCTACCTACCTGCATACCTACCTACTTACCTACCCACCCAGTTGCCTACCTACCTACTTATCTATTATCTATCTAGTTTTTGTTTGCATGTTTGTTTTTGAGATAAGGGCTCACTTTATGGTTTAGGCCGGCCTAGAACCGACTACACAGCTCAGGCTAGCCTTGAACTATGACATTCCTCCTGTTTTAGCCTACTAAGTTCCAGAATTTCAGATGTGTGCCTCCATGTTTGGTAGTTTCCTTATGAATTAAAGAGGGGTGGCATATCTGCTCCTTGGGGTTAATTTCAAATCAAGTAGATTATGAACCTAAGATGCCTGGCACACAGAAGGCATACAACAGGCACGTAGTAGGCACTCAAAGCTTTTCTTGTTTTCTAACCTTTCCAAGTTCAGACATAGGAGACTGGTTGGTAAAATTATGTATGAACACAGAATCTCAAAAGTAGAAATGCTGTCAGAGAATTTGTACTTATATTTTGTGTGTGGTTACTTACATAATGGAATAAAACAATAATATGATATTTTACATCATCTCTCATTCAAACTCAAGTTCAACAAACATTTGTTATGTATAACACAGTTTCAGTTCTGGCCACTGCCTTAACATTTCATAACCTTTTCTCGCTAGTATTTCATTATTACCATCTTTATTTTTTAAACAAGTTGAGCTTGATCATGCATTACATGAAAAATGGGCATACAGGAATGGGATCATTAAAATTAAAGCCAAGCAAGCTGTGCACTGCTGTTCTAATACACAGCTGAAGAAATGACCACTTCCATGCTGACAAGTCCTATGACAAACAGAATGCTCTAATTGTTCTCATCATAGTCAAGCAAGCATATTGTAGTTTCTCCTTTTCTCTACATTTATTTCCCAGTAACTATGAGAACAATTGGTGTTTATAATTTGCTGACAACACATACAGTTTAATAGTTATTGAGATAAAGATGCCAGACGTCATTTTTCAGTTCTCCACAAATATTTAGACTAACCCATCTGATCTATGGTCTCTTCATTATTTTCTTCTTTTCTTTTATTCCTTTGTACAAGTTACGTAGAACTTAGAGTTAAAAACCCTGGCTCAATATGCCTCGCCACTTACTACCCACATGATATTTCATCCTGCCACATTTTTCCAAGTTGGCATAAAAAGTGATGGATTTATTTCTAACATTTTCATACACATGTATCTGGGTTTCTCTTTTTATAAAATGAGTTAAAAAATTAAAGCCTGGAGCCAGCAAGATGGCTCAGTGGGAAAAGAAGCTTGCCACAGAAGCCTGATGATCTCAGTTTGCTTCGTGAGGCCTACCTCTGACTTCCACATGTATGAGCTCTCCCTCTCATTACCCTACTCCCCACCCCCACGTGTGTGTCTCTCTCTCACACGCTCACATGAAATAAATGAAAATGCAACAAAAATTAAAAACTTACGCCTCTATTATTTTTACAGGGTTGCTATGGTGAACAAATAAGGAAAAATACTTGACCCAGAGCCTAGCATATCGAAGGTATTCAATAGCCAAATAGACTTTGTCAGGTTACCTCATGGTTCAAGGTAGCAGAGATTTGACTGGAAGGCTGTGGGCTGGGGTTAAGGGAAGTCTCTTTTGAGAGACGAACACACTTGTCCACTACTAGGTTTGAAGGAGGAAAATAAGTATCAGTAAAGGCAAACTCTGGACTCCTTGCAGGTGGGAGAGGGAGACACATGCTCCATATTACTGTTTGCTCAGTGACCGATATTCTCTGTGTCTGGACCAGAAACAGCACTTTCCTCCTTCATTTGGCATAGGAGTAGAAACTTTAACCTAAGCCTTTTTGAGCCCATTATTGACCTCATTTTTAACCTAAGAAGCTGGATCCAATTATTCTCAGTTGTTCGATGGCTACTCCTGAAAATTGAATTTGAACTGGTGTGGGAAGAGCTACAGGCAGAGAAACTAGTAGACAAAGTTACCTTGACAGTGTGGGCAAGAAGCTATGTGGCTCCAAACAAGGGAGGACCAAGAAGGAATGCAAGTGACGGGCTGCGATGAAAGCACACAGTACTTCCTTATGGGGCGACAAACCAAGGCATGGAGTGAAGAGCTAAAGAGAGAGAGGATGCCTTGGAGAAGATTATGCTGAGGATATCTGGGTATTAGATTGGCTCACAGCTTGTCAAGAGAGATGAAAGATGCAGTTTGAGATATTAAACACACAGAGATGTTAAGGAGGATATATGGAGCAGTTAGAGATAGCAGAAAATTGAGATGGGCAATGTTGACGTGGTCTCTTCTTCAGCTTAAAAGTCATGAGTAAAACTATGGCGAAAGATGAGGTTGCTAAACAAATAAAGGAAGGTCACAGAGATGTCAAAGACCCTTTAAAGTACTTCTCAAATATGGCCCTGGGCATTGCCTGTACCTTTGACCCAAGGAAGGAACCAAACCCTTTTACTACTCTAAGCAAAACAGTACCTTTCTAACAACCTCAGTCTGAGTCTAATTTATATTTGGATGTCAAAGGACTCCTCATATTAGACTGAGAATTTCAGCAATTTTCATTTGCAACTTAAATTCACTTTTGTCTTAAGCTATTGAAACAGGAACTTTGGTCACTAAAATTTGGGACCAAGAGAGGGAACGGAAATCAATAACAGAGCATGAACTGAATAACCCTACAGCCTCTTTTATTATACTTTATTTTCTAATTTTAGACAGGATCTCGTTTTAATCAAGTCTAGTCTAGAATAATTCACTGTGTATCATAAGTTGGCCTCAACTCAACAAAGAGCCTCCTGTCTCAGCCAATTGAAGGCACTTGGGTACCAGCAACATTTCTCTATTGCGTCATAGTTATAGACAATATATAGACATAGTATAGACACAGATGTGGGTATGAAGGAAGCAAAGCAGTCGTGCTCACCAATAGGTTACCGAATCATGATGATGAGGATCGTTTATTTATTACTCACTAAGCTACAGCCCCAGCTCCAAAGATATTGATTTCTAAGAAAGACTGGGTAAAAGGAAACCAGTCTAGATTGTGATAATTTTTCAGTGATTTGGAGGCAACTCTCTTCCTTTCTGTCTTTTGCCCTCAGAAGATCATGATGATTCCTAGCTACCCATCAGTCTCCACAGAGTTACTGAATTTAGCGATGGCAGCAGAGGATTCTGAAGACAGATATGTCAAGAAGAGAGCAACTGGTGGTGGGAGAGAAACTCTTCAATTAGAGAAACTCTAGAAACTTCTGTATAAATCCCAGCAGGGTGATTTTAGAATCCCCTACAGTAACGCTTTTATAAACCCCAAATTCTCTAAGTCACACAAAGAAATGAGTCACTCAATTGATGGGTGCAGCCAGGAAGACTGTGCTGAAATAACCTTTTCATAACTATTGCAACAGTTGAAACATTCAGGCACCATCAGAGTAGTTTGTCTTGCTTGATGGCAGCTCTTGTCATTCTTGTCTCTAGACTAGCAGGTCACACCAATCATGGCAAGAATGGCTGGATATTCAAAGCAAATGGATCTTCTTATGAATTTATTCACTAATTTTCTATTTAAATAAAAGCTAAGATTTTATTTACTATATATCTTTATATATATCTTTAAAAGCATTGTCTTTTTATTTATAAGAGAAATAAATGCAAATTAAAAAAATAAGCACAC